GTCATTCCAGTTTAATAATTTAAAATTTTCTTTAAGGTGTTGCCGCAAAGTTCCATCGGCATATTCAATAACCATAAAATAGTTTGGTTTTTGCGGGTCTGCATAATTGTCTATATTAGCCATAGTTTCTTGTATAAACGTACACGTTTAAAATCATCATGCGAACATTACCTTTCTTAGAAATTCCATAAAGTCGTAAAATGTTGTCATCAAAGTCAACATCTTGATGCAACGTAAGCTACGCAGAATATTTTACATATGGTTTGTTTGTTATGTGCCGTAGTTATAACCACATATGATAAATGAATACTATACCTCGTTAAGAAATATATTCGCCGAAGTTTCGTCAAAAATTTTAACTTTTTTAATTGCTACTATTTTTCTAATACTCTTTGAATAGGCTTTATATACTTTTCCAAAGCTACCACTTCCTATAATTTCAACTTCCTCAAAGTCGCTATACGTGAACTTCTTCAAAGTCAGTTCATTTATAGAGCTATCGAGTTCTTCAATCCAACTATTTTTCGAAGGTAAATCTTTTGATAAGGACATCTGAAAGTGTTTTTACAATTTTCAAAATGCGCATTTTGTATGACCTAATATATTCATATTCCTCAGTTTGTTGTACAAATACAATATCTTTTAATTTTATGAGTAACTTGTATCACCCAAGATATTTATTTATACAGTGATGTTGTTGTTAAAGGGAATATATATATATATATATATCGCTTATGATTAAATGAATATGAAATTAATGACTATTAGTTAATATTACTTAGCCATTTCACTTTAGAATGTTAATTTAAAAAAATTTTATTTTTTTGTAAAAATTATCTATACGCTGTAAGAAAATGAGAAAATAAATTTAAAAGAAAATAATAATAATAATAATAATAATAAATTTTTTTATAATAAATATTATATTTTTAAAATTGACTTTTAGCTTATAAAGCTATTCAAAAATAAGTTTATATTAATAATTAATATGTATATTAAATAAAAAAAATTTTTGATAAAACAATTAATATTATGATTTAAATATTTTAATAAAATAGTTTTTATATTTATTTAATAAGAATTTTAAATGATTAATAATTTTTTAAAAAAGTAATTTCTTTTTTTACTAATATATTTTTAAAAGACAAAATTTTAATTGAAAAAAAAAATTATTAGCTTTAATAATTTTTTATAATTTAATTTAAAAAATTTTTTATCAAATATATATTTAGTTTCTGTATTAAAGTTTATATATAAATAAATTAAGATTTTATATAATTAGATTAATAAATATGTTGTAAATATTATTATATCAAATTTAATTTTTTTAAAAAAGTGTATTTGTTTAAAAAAATATCACGCGATCCTTTATTAACAGTTATACGTAGTTTCATGTAAACGTGATTAGAGTTTGATTGGTTTGATTAAGTGTAGTAAGAGGAGTATATGATTTGGTTAAGGCATTTGTCGACTTGATTCCTTAATTTTATTTAGATTTTTACTTGTGCTTTTATTTCATTTAATATAATGGTCACTTTGAACATAAAAGAAGATTTTAGAACAAAAAAAATAGGAAGAAAATGAGGAATAAATTTAAAGAGATTTTTAGTTTCATAATCCACCATTTAATTATTTAAGCAGGGAATCCGTTGGTCACGTGAATATCACACTAGGGATTCTAAAACTGGCGAATAATTTTTTTATTTCGCAGAAACACTACTTCCTTAATTGTTTTTTTTAGAAAATGCATCAATGTATTTTTAGTTTTTAGCGACTAAACTTTTACCGGATGAATTAGTCTCCAATAATAATATGCTAATTTTGTGTAACTCTGTTGCGCCAAAAATTTTAAATAATATTTACCACTCAAGGCTAACCTAAAAAAAATGTATTTATTAACTTAACCGGTGCTCCATTTAACTCTACATTTCTTCTTACTACAGTAACCTTAGAAATCTAAATTTTCCACGAGGCTTTTATTTGTAATATTTTAGGATTGATTTTTCAATTACGCACACGTCGCGTAATCGTGTTTCTTGGCATTGTCGATCATGTTACACTTATGGGTCTAATAGACATCGATTTTTCTCGACGCCAAATACACAACCAAATTCAACACGTCATTTTCCTATTAAACATTGTAAAAAATTTAACTTTAATTGTCTCGTTTAATTATGAATTAATAACTAGGGATACGGGGACCATTGTCGAGTCCAGAGTTCGTAACTAAAGCACATGATAACCTCCTCATTGTAACCATTTTTATCTTAGTCATAATAAATAAATACTGTACGTTATACAGAATATACATTATATTCTCACTTTTAATTTAAAAAATCTACAGTATCGTTGAAATATCGTCATTTGTTTATTATTTTGAATTTCATTTTAAAAAATATATAAAATAGTCAAACAGATAATTAAGCTCATATTATACAGTATATAGCATATAATTTTTATTTTAATGTAATCGAGATTAAAATTCATCATATTGCACGATTTTATAATGTTACGTAATAATGTAAATATACTGTATTTAAATTTAAAATCCTAAATAATTTCTATGATTATAGCATAAAATATTATAATTTCTTTAAAATGTATATTTCTAAAAAAAAAAATAAATAAAATTGAATAATGAATTACTGTATATTAAAATCTAGATTATTGAAATGATTTAATTGACCGAAAATATAATATAAATAATTCTTGGTTAGAAATTGATAAATGATTACTTTGCTACTTATTACAATACTACCAAGAATTTATCGCCCTTGATAACGAAAAATTGCTAAATAAATCAATGAATACATTCCCTGCAAGAGGATATGGTGGATATGGTGGAGTACAGCCTTAATAAACACATTCTGGCGCAATTGTCACGGTAAGCATTCCCTGGGCTGAGCAACATTACGTATATGGACTTTGATGTCCATCAATGGTCCCAAATTCGTACTGCGATTTTGTGGGTTAAACAAGATGGGTTTGATCAGCATAATTCCTTCCCTGTGCTTGACTCGCTTGAAGGCTTGCACGACGACAAAATTTATAGCACTATCGAGAATATTGTCATTAGACGAATTAATAGAAATGAATTTACAAAACATTACTGAACTGTTAAGCGACGCAATGGACATCCATTCGTATCCTTCCTACGAATCCATGGCCACAATTTGAGTACTATCATATCTTCTGACCGGTTTGAGGCTAACCAAAACGAATTAATTTTCTAGAGTATATGCGGAAGACCTCTGGATCGGGCAACCTCACAGACTACGGTTGGCCAGGGATTACCCTATCAATCAAGATACTTGTTTATATTTTGTGTTATGCGTTGCTAATATGATTAAAAGTGCATACCTGAACATCACTTGGATAGGTAAGCGATTGGGCACAAATGAAGTGTCCGCTTGTCTGGTAGATCTTCGCCCCGAACCAAGACAAGCTGAATGTAACAGAATTATGTTAAGCATAATGATATCTATACAAAATTACGAGCATTAAATGGTACGTACTTGTCGCTCCAGCATTCTTGAAATTGTAGATTGGTGAAGGCGGATAGAAATTGTCGAGAAAATGCAGTGTGAGCAACCTCATGATCACAGTTTGGCAACTCATATATGATCACAACGCTATTATCAAACCCCCAAAATCTACCTGCGTTTGCAATTTTACTTTCTTTTCATATTCACGGTACGTTACATTTTCCATAAGACCCAGAGGCAGTCTAATAAGATAAGCAAAGCCTTA